AAGGTCAGAAATGCAGTCCGAACCCAAAGTAAAGATAATCAGAAATCAAAACAACCAACACAAACCACACTGAAGGAATTAACACGACAGGCCAGGATGATCAATTGCAGACTTTCAAAAGGATAACGCAGCAACCACGGTTGGGAGGATGTCAAAACCCAGTTAAGCGAAGAGAATGCACGCTTTGCTTCCAGCAAGGAGCTGTGTGCAAACACACCCACTTACATCCTGTTCTCCCAGCTGCAACTAATGAAAGGGATCAGGGCCCTTTTCTCCCCCGTAAGCCACGTTGCTCCCTTTCTCCATTCTTCCCTGCGTGCCCTAGGATGGCACTGGGTCTTCCTCTGAATGCCCAGCCGGCCTGTGCCCTTCCCCAGTTTCCTCCACAGCCACCAGAGCCACACTCCCACTCCCTGTCGACTGCTCGATCTCCCCCTCAGAATCAGATTCCAACAAGGGCATGACACTTCCCGCTCCCGAACAAACTCCTGAAGTTTAAACCAAAACAGGACAACACACCCAAAATGGCTCCAGGATGTTAGACAAGAATGCCAAACCGTCGGCCTATCCTAAACGTCCTTCAAGGAGCCTAATCAAACGCAAACGTTTCTCAGATCGCAGCTGCCGTCGCTTGCATTGTGTCCTGTGACACGCAAGACGTTCGTGGTTTTGTGTATATGTGTGGGTGCGCTTCACTCTTGTGGGCATCCTAACTTGGCTTAATCCTTTCTTGGCTGCAGGGATTTTATGGACCCGACCATGGAAAACACCAGACATATTTTAAATTACCTGATGCCCATCATAGACCAAGTGAACCCAGAGCTCCACGATTTCATGGAAAGGTAAAGTAATTTTTAAGGTGTTGTTTTTTTTTAAAAAAAAAAAAAGTTCAGGTAGGCCTTTTGTAACAAGGGGGTCAAGCTGTTCTCCGGAGCCCCCGAAGGCAGGACAAGAAGCAACAAATGGAAACAAACCAAGGAGAGAAGCAATCGGGAGAAATTTCCGAACAGTGAGAACGGTTAACCAGTGGAACTGCTTGCCTCTAGAAGTTGTGGGAGGTTTTCAAGAAGAGGCTGGAAAACCGTTTGTCTGAAATGGCATCAGGTCCCCTG